GGGGGGGGGGCAAGCTCGTAAGTGGCCCGCGGTGTCTTACTTTTGCAGCTCCTTGATGTAAGGGCTTTCGAAGGCATCGTCCTGAGCCTCAGCTACCTTGTCGGTGGGGGCGGACTCGGTGCTGGGAGCCGGGGACTCGGTACGGGCCTGAACCTTGGCAGCCTTCTTTTTGGCCGACTTGGAGACGGCGGCTTGGGAAGCTGGAGCAGCCATGTTGAAGGGAGGGCGTAAAGACGATGGCAAAAAGGGGGCTCGCAGCGTCAATACGACAATCGTGGGTTTGTGTCGTCCACTAAACGTTGGTGCGCGCAAGGCTGGTGGACGGTAATGTAGTAGCAATACGATGCGAACGCGGGGTTCAAAACGCAGCGTTCAGGTCTTAGGGGATGGAGTTGGGAGGCACGGAAACAATGCCAAGTAACTGTGCAGAGTTTGGAGATGGAGGATTCTTGAGGGGGGAAGTGATGAGGTGTGGAGGAGGTTTTGTTTGTGTCGGGTTGACGTTTTTTTTAGCACTGGACTTTTAAGGTACCAAGGCGTGGCCAGGCTGAAGGCGTACTATAGTGAAGCAATTAGAGCCTAGAGGCACCCCCCTGTGCAGCCGGCAGCTGTCACTGTGTCTGGCCCCCCCCGAATTGGCAGTGCGGGACGTTGCTCTTCTAGAATCAAACAGAAGGGCTCAGGCTGCAATTCCAGCCTCACTCGACACAAACAGGCGGTCCAGCGCTGCCAGTGCTGCTAAATACTGTCATTGGCTGCTGGCACAGCTCAATTGCCCGTTGTCGCACAAGAATAGGCAGCAAACGGAGCTTGTTTGTTGACTTTCTCTCGCTCAATGCATCCTCACGTGCTCTCCAATTGTCGGGTCAACCAAGTAAACACGGCGGGATATGAGGCACCAATCCCGCACCAGTGACTCCATACGTGCATGTGGCCTGAGCGTAGTTGGGCCCGACTGGAACCATCAGCCTTGGGTTCAATGTTTTCCATCAATTTGTTCTATCACTGAAGACGTCCTATCTCTGCTACTTTCAGCCTCTATTTGAGGTGTGTACAATGTGTTACCAGCAGTTTTTCCGTCACAATTCTTCGTCAAAATCCGTTTCACGTACATTGATGAGAGCCTCATGGAAGAGGTGCGTCTCTCAACAACCGGCATGTAGCCTCAAGATGGAGGGCACGCCATTCAGTACGGACCCGACTTTTAGCAAAAGGGGCTGATTCCTTGAGGTTTGCCATGGCCCGTAAGCTCTCCAAGCATCAGCCATCGGCAGCCATTGTCCCATACGGAGTCAGCAGAGGCAAGCTTCAGCAAGAAAGCAACTCAACTGCAAAGCAGCTGCCCTTGTTTTCTTTGCATAGGGATCTGAGATCAGCCTTTGAACTTGGCCAAAGCATCCTATTCGCCGTGTTAGTCTGTGCAGTGCAGCCTTCAGTCATGGGTTCCAGGAAGCATACTCGAGTTGCCTTTCTCACGCTCCGAGCAGTTAACCCACGTTCTCCCGATTGTTTTGCATGAATGGCGGCCTCTTTGACTAATCTGCGAGACAATGTCAACATCCGGCTCCCTCCGTAGCTGCCAACTATCCAAAATAAAGACCACACCTGTTCATAAACAAAACGTAATTGAGATAGATCTGGTGGTGTTGTTAGTGCCGCATCTACTAATGGGAAGCGCGTCACCCGAGACCATACCGTGATGTCGGTGTTTTTTCTAATGCTCATGCCCGCATGTGCCTTGACAATCTTCTTCAAAGTAGCCTTGGGGTAAGGCTTTTTGCCCGCCACCATCGTGGCCGTCTGGTTTCGCTTTCTGGCGCCTCGCTATGCAGATGCAGCTGTCATGCTTGTTGTCTCAACAGCGCGTCTCCCAAATCCGTTAGTGACTGGTGTTCCGGCACTTAGTTTCCAATTCGACGTACGGTGCTGATGTGGTGTAAACACTGTAAAGTGCACACGGTACCCCACCATACCTCCATACCCCACCATTTCCTCAGGGCCAGTTTCGTACCAGATAATCGTTGCTTTGACCTGTATAAGGCAGTCAGACTTATCACAGAGGAGTCGGGAATCGGTCTCGACATCATTGCAACCATGGCTTCAATAATGCAGCGCCGTATGGTATGTCGAATAAACCCCCTATGCGGCGCGCCACGACTTACAGCTCTGTTTTAGCTCTCCAAGGAAGACGAAGCCGCAGACGAGGTCGAGGTTCGACGAGAAGACCAGGACAAGATCAACAGGTTCAGCCGGCTACACCAGCGAGAGCTCGCCTTGAAGGAGGAGCTGCAGCTCAAGAGCGTACGTAACACGCCATGCCAACACACGGGGGGACATGGCTAACAATTGCGCCGCAGAAAGAAAAGGAGGAGCTGGACGACATCTCCACCGAACTCGAGCTTGCAGACGAGGATGAGAAGATACAGTGCGCCTTGATAATGACGACGTGAAATGCAGACAGGGCTCGGCTTACCTGTGGTTTTTTCCTAGATACAAAATCGGCGACGCCTTTTTCCACCTCCCCCTCGAACAAGCACAGGAGATGCTCAGCACCGCAACAGCGAGAATAGACGAAGAGACCGAAAAGCTGGAAGAAAAGCTTGGCACCATCGAAGACGAAATGTCACAGCTCAAGGTCGAGCTTTATGCAAGGTTCGGCAAGCAAATCAACTTGGAGACGTGACGAAACCTGTGATATCGACCCAACAAACCCCTCTCATTCCCGAGACTGCTCTATACTCATGCACGACAAACGCGGCGGCGGCTGTTGTATATATTTATATGCTGGTCCGCAACTCGAAGGGGAACGCAACATTATCCGATTATGCTAAAAATAATACGAACCAAAAGTTATACGAGTAATCAGTGGAGCAGTGCAGGGATAATCTTCAACTCATACATCATAGGTGACGAGTGTGATTCACTTAGAGTTCTTCTACAAACAAATGTTATTGCATGGCGAATATATCGTGGCTTCTTCTAAAAATAATTAATGCTAGCACAATCTTTTCACGTGTGCCTCTAGGTGTTCTCCGGCATTCAACCGCCTGATGGCCTCTCGTACAAAGCCGCGGGCCTTGTATACCTCTTCGTCAATAGCAGTTCGGAACACAATTGTTGAGACTATTGATGTCGTCTGGGAATTTGTGGGGAGGACTGAGTATCGCAAAGTACTCTATTGTGGGAGAGTGCGATATATGACGGTCTATGGTATGTTCTCGATAGTTGACCGAGGCTAGCTAGGTAGTTATATTATACAAGCGGTCCTTAACATATTCTGGGCCCCCTTTCCTTTTCATCTGCTTCATGCAGTTTAGGAAGAGTCTCATGCCAATCAATGTGATAGCGCATATCCATCTCTTCATAGTATTCTTGCTAATATACTTCAAATCAAGGTAACAGAAACCGCAATCACGCTCTGAACCTGACTTACCCGTGTAAAATGTGTACTCGTGCCGTCTTCTTCCTGCTAAGCCCTAAGATTGCCCAAGCTAAGAGATTGAGCCATGGATTGGCCAGTACATGCTAAAGACGGCTTCCTGTTTGTCGGTGCATCCAATGCTGATTTCCAACGTCGAAGAGCCCTTCTCTCGCTGGAGGTCGATGTTGAATCAGTCCCTTCAGGGTTGCTATTTTTCTCTTCCTCGAATGACAGCCTTCTCCGTGGCTGTATAGGGAGATCACCCATCGATTCATCTTCCCCGTGGTGGCTCCGACTGGACTCGTCAACTGGCTTCTGCGCCTCCGGTTCCGTAGCAACCCCGTCAGCTTCTTTCAGATATTCAAGATCAATAGCATTTCTGAGCTTCATTACAGGTGGTTGGTGGCAAGAGGCTAATTCAGCAGACAAGTACTGCTTTGAATAGGCAGCGTCATATTCAGCCGCCCTTTTTGATGTAGGGTTTTGGTGCTCACTTGCGACAGTTGGTGTATCAGTTCTCACGCTCTTGTGTCCTGAGCACTTTTCGTTTTCATCGTGTCGTCGCTGGTTTTCTGGAATTTGAAAGAACTGAGCTTGGTTCTCATTGTCGTGGGAGGGCAAAAGTTTTTTCAACCCAGACTTCACAGCTTTTCCGAGCTTGCCAGCTCGAAAGCGTGATGTTGACTCTGAAATGGAACCATTTACAACCCATTTATTGCCTCCATCTATCTGCTGTTGATGAAGATTGGCGTTCCTAGTTCTCTCTTCACAGAGTTGGAGGCTTTGTGGCTGTGAAGGGGGTATCTTGGTCAGTCGTTTAATGGTCTTGGATGGTTGACCGGGTTTTGGGATAGAATTGGGCGAAAATGTGCCCTGAAGATTGGTCGTCCAATGCTGGAGAATCCGACTTGAAGGACTTTGAGCTTCGTCCAATAAGAGCTCTGAGTGTGGTGTGAGTCTAGAGATGTCAAAGCCTCCTGACGGCCGTGATAAGAGTGAGTTCTGGTAGTCCTGTGCACGAGTAAGTGCGGCCGGGCTCAAGTCAATCGGCGAGAAATAAGCCTCGTGTTTATTAAAGGGCGAAGATCCGCCAGTAGGTGTCTCCAGTCGCACAGCATTCGATTCTTCGCGTCCCAGAGCCAAGGAGCTTCTTTCAATCGAGTAGTGTCTACTTTGCGCCGTACCAAAGCTATTGGAGCTGTATTTGGATCTCCTTGGGACAGAAAGATTCATTTTCGTCATGAACGATCGGCGGCCCGACCCAGTAGAACTTGTAAGAAAATCTTCTTTGAAGCGGCTGCCGAAGTTCAAGGATGGCTTCTTACGGGACAGGGCGTCACCGAGCCTTGTCCCAATTGTCTGCATCTTGGCCTCTCGTTGCCGAAACCTCGCAGTACCAGAGTAGGCCAATGGTGGCGCATCAACCGAGTTTTCTACCGCAGGACAGTTGATTTGAGTAGTGCTAGCATCATTATCGGAGAACAGGATGTTTTCTTCCGCTGTGGCATATGAGCTCATTCCTTCGGATGCATGGTTGCTTCTAATGACAGAGAAGTTGCCTCTCCCTAGAACACTCTTGATTAATAATGTACCGTACACGCTGGAGAAAGGAAATATGGTAGAGAATGCACTCACAGCTAAAGGGCGAAAGCTCAAGGCTTTCTAGGTCCTCTGCACTAAGATGATGTAAATTGGATTGAGATCGATTTGGGCTGGGCTGGAAGCTTGGAAGAACGGAAGGATAGTCGGAAGAGCTGGGATCAACGGGTTTCAATGTGCCAATATCCAAGGTATCAGGCTCCAAGAGTACATGCCGACCAAGAAAGGTAGCATTGGCTTCGCTCTGCACCCGGTTATTGGACAAGCTTGATTCGAATGATACGCTTTCGAAGGAGTTCTTTCCATCGTGAGGCTCTTCCACATCATTTTCGCGGCAACGAGTCGGTAATGGAGCCTCTACGGTACTATCGATCCCGCCAAAATCTTCCCTGGGTGAGAAAACTTGAATCCCGGGATTCTTATCATGCGTCTCGCTGCTTCCGGGGCGAACGGAGCTGCTTCGTGATTGCAAACCCTGGGCAGCAAGCCAGATGCCAAGAGAAGACTGTTCCTCCCAAGCATGAGCACCATGGCGAATATCGAACTCGTTATCAGCACCCAAAAAACGTCCCAGACGAGGCACATTGACCGAGCATCCTGTCAACTTTTGAGATGTAGAGCTGTGCGTGCTGGGTGGCCGTAAAGGGTGACCTTGATCCCAGCCCTCCACGCCAGATAATGCCGGTGTAACAGGAGATTTTGACTCCCCACCTTGATCTTGGGAGGAGCCGCATGCCTCTTTGTGGTGAGTTTCGGCAGATTGCGCATCTTGTGTCGGAGGTGGTTGTGCTGGATTTAGATGCGCGTCTTCGACCGTGAATTCCAAGGCGTCCCTGGGTCCAATTCTCGGTTGTCCGGCGTCAATAAGGGGGGAAAGGTAGCGAGTGCTGCGGTGAGACGTGCTGCTCGACTCGGCATTGCTTTCTTCGTTCTTGAGCTCCTCTTGGATCCTCTGATGCCGAAATCGCCTGAGCTCGGCCCTTCGAGCAACCTCTTCTTGGCTGTGGCCCGCAGATGCTCGAGACCGACGGTTTGGCTCGTTCTCATGAGAGATGTGACGTATCAACTTGGTTCGAACGACATTCAAGGCACTGCTCGTCTTTGTCAAAGGATTCTCTTCCTCGCCCTCGCCATCGGAATCGTCCACTACCAGCTGGCCCAGCTCGGTTGGGTCTTCAGAGGGCAGCTCAGCCGGCAGCATCGACGCATCTCGAGACCGAATCTGCATTTCCACGGGCAGACGCGATTGATCAAGGCAATGTTGAATATCAGGGAGCCCCCACCGCATGCCGTGCTCCTCTGGTGATTCGACCAAGTCAGCGTCTCCTGCAGGTTGCCTGCCTCGACGACGGAAGCCGCAGCAAAAGAGCATGGACATTCCGTGCAAATGATGGGCTGCCGAAGAGAGTGAATGGCCAAGCCTCTAGTCCGTTAAATAAGTGTTGACTAAGAGCCTGAAAATGAGAAATCAAAAGGAATTGCGGTTGCTGGTATCAAGGTAGAGAGATAATAACGATCAGACGGAGGCTCGCCTTTGGTCATGAGTGGGTGAAGACTGTAACTGAGGGATGTGACTTGCTGGAGCTCAAAACAAACAGAGGCCGTAGTAACTGCCATTTCCCGAGTGCTTTAATCGACGCTTTCGAGGACAGGGCAAGAGACAATGAGCTCCGAAAGAAAGAACTTGAAGTTTTGCAAGCAATTTCTCGCTTAGGGGTTTTTCTTTCATAAGAAAGGAAGAAGGGAAAGAAAGTAAAAAGGAAAAGAAAAAAAAGAGGGAAAAGAGAGACAGAGCGAGTGGCCGTTGGGTTTGTGAAAAATACATGTACCCAAGTAAATCATCTCTGCGTGCTGAATTGACATCCATCAATGATATAGAAAAAGAAAAAAAAACGTGCAAACTACCTACTAATCTAATAAACGCCTCCCTTCCCTCTATTATTACGTCCATGATATCACAATTCCCTCAATTACCCTAGTTTGGTAGTAAATAATACAAAATGTCAATCCCTTAAAACGCGCTGCAAAGATTTAGACCAAGTCACCCACAAACCCAAGCTTTTCCCTGTTTTCATCGCAGATGCGAGCCCACTCAAGCAACAGCCGCCAAACATATAACGACATATCCTCTCGTCTAAGAACCTTCTCAGCCCAAGCCTGGCCAGTTTCCGCAATGAATCGAGCAGCTTCATCGCCTCTGCCCCTCGGGCCGTCGGCGAAAAAGTTGAGGACCGAATACAAGTCCTGAAACGTGTTGTCGAACGGCGCAAAGTGCATCCAGGGAATCAGTCGGTCGTCGTGCCACTCGGCGTATATCGTCGCCTTGAGCGGCATGCTGGTTGATCGCAGAAAGCCGCGATATCGAGCGCTGAAGGAATTGCCGTCAACGTCAGGGAGGAACTTGTAGCCGTATTGCTCCTTCATTGGAACGCGCTCCACCTCGTGATAGTACGGCGCGAGAAAGTCGCATGCGCCGGGGTCGCAAAGCTTGACGAAGCCGGCATTGGCATTTTCGCTGAGCCAGTCTCCGACTTGTCCCTGGGACAGATGCTCGCCGTTGTAGAGCCGTCGCGACGGCATTTCGAATGTCGGGGATCGTTCGTTGCGTTGCTCCATCGCGCTGACGGTTGTGCCGTTGAGCATTTGGATCAGCCTGTGACGGTGGAAGTGTTGCCACATCTCTTCGCCAGCACGACCGCCGGAAGCCTCTCCTCGCCAGACAATACCGTCCTTTTTGTGCTTCCAGGAGACTCCATGGTCTTCACCTCCGGCGTAGAACTCGTCGTTGACCAGATACATTGCCCCGGGGATGAGGATCTCGTTATTCGCCATAAGCTTCGAGCCACCAAACAACGGAATCAGCTCCTCGGTGGAGGACAGGCTGCGGGGCTTGACAAAAGTACCGTGTAACTGTTGCAAGTGTGGCTGTATGCAAGGGTCCATGGCTGCTGTCCAGTTTCGAACGAAGCCTTTGTAAGAGTATGACGGGTTCCATTCGTTGGGAATGCTCGCGGGGGCGGTGAAATCCGTTAGACTCTGGACGCCGTAAGCGGGTGTATCTGGACCACACGTCTTGACGAGCAAGTCCCAGTATGAAGCATCGTCAAAGGCATGCCATTTAGGATCGTACGGCTCCAATTTGGCGTCATCAATACGCTTCAAGCCCTTGAACTGAGTGGTGACTTCTTTGGTAGGAGTGATTTTCCTGCTCTCTTGTTCTTTTTGTCGGAGTTTTGTGATTTCGTCGAAAGGGACGAGGATTCGAGATTCGTCCATGTAGTTGATGGGCATGTCGACATCAGGCAAGTGTTGAGCAAACTCGCTGACAAGTTCTGTCCAGAGCTGCAGCCAGATGACTCTACCTTCGACGTCCCCTACGCCTTCGGCCGTTCCATTTCGCACTTTGACAACGTGCCACCAAGAACTTGCTCGCTGGGCGATTGTCTCCGTGTCAAGGGACCAAAAGGGGGCCAAGTCGGTATAGATGCGATCGAAGAAGTCTTCGACAATGATTGCGTTGTTTTCGAGCGCGCCCGCGACCCATTTGTCAAAGCCTGGCGGCGGGTGTCTTCCTCTTCGCTCTCGATACCTAGCAGCAGCGCTTGTGATATTGTCACTGCGCTTTTCCATTAGATCCTCATGACGGGCTTTGGCTTCGACCATGAGCTTTAAGATGGGATGCTCTATCCAGGAAGCAAACGACCCCTGATTCCCCAAGATGACCAACGGGCGTCGAGGTTCTAAGTCGGGCCATAGTCTATAAGTTGTAAACAAAAAAGCAGCCACAAACAAAAGAATTAAAACTTTTACAGCAGCCTTTGGGTATGAACCCAGCCGCTTTGGAATATCGAACATGGAAAAGATTGGACAGGGGAGCGACCCAAAACAAAACGTCACAGTTGGCGAGTAGCCAGAGGAGGAGCAAAAGCAGAATACAGACTCCCAAGGAGAAGAGGTACCCAAGTTTCAAGTTCTACATGTCCAACAGAGGCAGGGGCGGTACATTGCCTGCAATTGGCTTACGCGGCTATAAGGATGGAGATGATAGCAAGTGTGGAATTAGTATGTCTATACTCCGTACAAATTTGTTGGATGGGTGTTGTGGAGGCTTGAAGGAGGCTTGGCGAGGCGAGCCACGGAGTAACTGGCGGCAGAATGCTTTTGCCAGGGTGTGATAATGTTAAATTATGCATCTAACTTTGCAGCATTTGCATGAAACGGGGTCAGCGTGTTAACAATAGTAATCAGGCATCCCTATCGAGTAATATTGGCCCATCTGGGTACGCTTCCCATCGAGGACGGCGAAGTATATGCAGTTATACAAACACTAGCTTACTATCAACAAGGGGGGGAAGACAAATGTCGGTATCTAGGTGAAGATTAAAGCGAACACGCGTACTCCTACGTGTTAGATCAGAAGCAGTTTGGCGCGGATGCACCTCTGTTACGGAACTTCACTTCCGATCTCAATCGTCCGCTACAACTATCGGTTAGAGAGCCTCTCTCCAACACTTTGGAGACCCAATCGCCCCTTGGTCTAGGCAATGGGCTTAGCTGTGCTCTGCTTGAGCTTCGGAGAGTGTCAGTCTGTTTGGTTACTTTAATCATTGTTATTCTGACAAGTCAATCCTTCGACGAGTCGAGAGAGCAGCCGCTTGTCAAAGATAGCGTTTGTTAGCCCAAGTCTAGTTTCGGAGAAGTGTTCCGGGAAGAGATTTTAGTTAAATTAATGTTTTACTGCTTTAACCTGTAGCATATAGGCAGAATTAGAGAGCGTGAAAAAAGTGTTCTTCTCGTTGATTTTCACCTCAACAGAACCTGCTCTACAGTTCTCAAATTAGAATCCGCGTAATTCTACCTACTAGGAACCAGGAGATTAACGACAAATCATTAGGGCATATGTCCGAGCGTTGTCCTAGAACAGATTAGCTGCCAATTCATGCCCGTGGCAGTGCCAGGTAAAATCTGCCGCCTCTGGATCCCGCGACTCTTACGGAAGTCGGAAATATTCCCGAGCCGCTTTTTGGCGGACAAAGAACAACAAGCAAATGGTTATAAGTGATAATAGAGTCCCCAAAGCCGCCGTGAGCGAGTTTTTGCGGGAATAAAAAAAAAAGACAAGACGCCCCGATCCCCCAGTTAGCGGCATGACAATAAGCGGATCCATAAAGTTATGTCAAACACACAACATCAACTGGTGTTGTGAGTTGATTTGAAGTAACGAGCTATAAATCAAGGCAACACTCTTTATATAGTGCGGGAGGATCTCCTCCACAACGACGTAGAAAGAACTTAGGACATTGAACGGGCCATTGCGAATACTGGGGCTGATGCCAGAGTTTTCCTCCTTTTCCATTGACCCATCAGTTGGTCAAGGTGGTGCTCCAGCCAACCGACCGAGTTATAAGACTCTATTGGGTTTGTCGTTGACATCCATGGCATAAGCCAAGCCAAATACCTCCCCGAACAAATGCCTAATCCAGTCAAAGCCGAAGCTAATCTAGCCGCTTTGAAGCGATCCGAGTCAGAACGGATTAATGACTAAGCCGAGATACAACCGCCAATCAACTGGGCCTCTTACGACCGTAACCACCTGTACCACTGAATCAACCACGGAGAACGCTTTTCTCATGGGTTTAAATGCAAATACAACGTTGGGTGAAGTTGACCAGGAAGGCTTTGACCAAGGTGGTCGATTTAAACCCCCTTTGGAATTTCTGCAGCCTTAGTTACCCAGTCGATGCCCTATTAATAGTTCTTCTACGGAGTATATCTCTCCGTTCACCGAAGCCAACTCATCTCAATTTTCTACTAGTTTCCTTTTCTCCCTTCTATTAGCTTCCTTTTCCCTCTTCTTTTTTTTTTCCAACCGTAGATACAGTTAGACTTATTTCCTGATATCCTATGACGCTTTTCAAGCTACCAGCTCTCTATCGCGGGCAATTCGACGAGGCTCATGAAACGGCTGATCTTGAAGTTGGTCAAGGACACTGGGAAGAAACTTGATGATTGGGGAAAGCAGAGGGGGAAGCAAAAAGAAAAAGAGTTTCGTTCAAAGTAGTCCCTGGCAATGCGGTATACCGGAAGAGTTTCACGCTACCTATGTACTGAGGTTGGATGCAATAGATCTCGACTCCTTACATAATCCAGCCTAGTCGGCCTCGCGTTCCTCTGAACTACTTCTTCACAAACTTCAGTTTCATCAGAAATGACTTATCATGCCAATATTCAAGCTAATTCACTCCAACATGCAAGCTTTGCTTTATTTCCTCGAGTAAGCTGCGTGGTTGACTCAGTTGCATACCATGGAAAGCATGAAGGCGCAAGGGAGACTGATTCAAGGGGCTTTAAGCCTTGTTCAGATGAGAGACATGTCTGATAACACTTGCTCCTTTATCCTGTTAGACCCTTGGGAACGCTTTTTGGAGTCTTTTCGGCTCCTTAGTTGAACCATTGAGGCGGGTGACCTAGCGCGCGTATAATGCAATACTTGACTATATAGGTCGAGGTCTATGCGAACCGCAGGTATTCGAGAATACCTAAGCACCTCATACTCTCATCACATCACAGAGTCCCATATTGAGAGGCAAAATAAACTAGATCGTTAAATTGGCCTCAGGTTGTTAAATTTGTCCGTTCCTGGACAGTGATTCCGTCTTCCCGCATCATATCTCGTACTCTCGCCAATGAAGGGACTCGTCTCCGCCCTGCATATCGCAGTGCTTACTTCCATCTGCACCGTCAGCGCTCTGGATGGAAAAACTTGCTTTACAATATGCTACCATCCAGCTGTCGAGCAGCAGTGCCCCGGTGCGAACGTCGAATGCGTTTGCAAGAATCAAGAGTTTATATCACTGCTCAATATGTGTATTCAGCGGACTTGCCAGGAGTCTTTATGTGAGCTATTTCACTCCCTACGCTTGGACAAGGTCCTCATCACCATTTGACTAACTATGATATCCATGGTAGATGAAGCCGAAGCCATTCATGCTGATATGTGTCTTTGAGCGCCTCTGCCGCAAGTGACTGGCTCGTGTGTTGAGATATGACATTTGATGTAATCACCATGTTACATCTGCTGGCTGACTGGAGACCTTGGCATTGATGTATTTTTACTTCGTATCTGACTTTCTGGAGCAATACGAGAATGAATCATAAACGAAATAGTCATTTGTCTCCTATTTAATAGTTGTTCTAGGGAGAGCACTTGGGGTACCAGGACAACTCAAAAAGATGAAGCTCATACTTGGGATAAGAGTGACAGTCTCTTGGCTCCAAGGAGACGCGTACCGATATAAGTACAAGTAGCATTGCCAGACCTTAGTACTCCGTACTCGTACCTATCTAGCAGTAATATTCCCCGAGAGAAAGAAAATTGTCGCGAAAGGGGCGCGGCACTCGCGTGAACCACCTTGTTTCCCCCTGTTGCCGCGAAACCAGTTTTGGCGTCTTGATGTGTCATACAGCCCTGCGTACATAGGTACTCTGTACTCGTATACTTAGGTAGTACACTTGTACACAAGCTTCACGGAATACGGAAATATTACGGTGCATGCTGACAGAAACGAGGTCTATTCGAGAATCTTGAAAACCCCAGTGGTTGATCTCGACAAGATCCCAACAAACAGTGCAAACAAGAGATCCATTCCCGAAAACATGCCCCTTGCCAAATGCGGCCGACGCCGATTATCATTACAGGCAGCTGCATTCTAGTCACCTTCCGCGCTAGGGTAAAAGCACAAGTGCCTTGGGATGCCCCTCAGGTAGGCGCGAGTACCTTGCAAGGGCACAAGAGTTCATGTTGTTAAGGTACCTACATAGGTAGGAACATTCTACCTCGCGCTTACCAGAACAGGGTCGTGCGGTACTTGCGCGGTGTCTTTCGTAGTACCCATTGAAATCTTACAAACGCGCGACAGGAGAGTGTATAAGCACGTATAAGCCCGGGGAGATAAGATGTACTGGGGATGTCGCAGCTACAGGCGACGTGGGTGTCGCGTTGTACTGCATCGTACTCGTATAATCGAACAGACGCCCTGAGTAAACGTAAGGTACTTGGTATAGTACTAAGGTAAACAGGCGCACAAGAGGTACCTACAGGGTTTTCTTTCGCCTCTACTATTTTTTCGTGATCTAATGCACGCAACGAATCGCCATTGGGCCAACACCAAAGATGCATCGCCGGCCGTTTGACATGGAAACAGACAAGCTTCGTTGTAGGTCAATCAATCCATCGTCATAGGGCTTATGCCGAGGTCGCGAACCGAACTATTTACGGGTCCCGCGAGTCAAGCTAACCAAGCGCAAGGGAAAATAGGAATCAATCGCAAATTGCTGACATCCCAGAGCTAAAATGCTGGGAAAATACCTGCTAGGGAAGAAAAGAACTTTGCAAAAAGAAAAAAAGGAGAAGTGGAGAGGCCAAATACCACATTATTCCCGCCTCCGATACATCCGACTAGTAGACGTCTTGTATGACGTCCAGGAAAAAGAAGGGAAAAGCTACCCACACTCTAGTCAGTCATCGTGGCTGGCGGCCTGAATCTCGGTGGCTTGGATGGGAGCTCTTGGAGGGAAGCACGAGTTCCCACGTATCGTCGGCAAGTGACGGCGTCTATTGCGCGCAAGATTGGCCTCGTTGAACGCCGTTGTGGTGCCAGGGC